AGTTTGGTCATCAACTCTTCCTTTATAAATCTTGGAGATAAGTCCTTTGTCAGATATGTAATTATAGGCAAATATGAATTTGTTCCTGTCATTTTTGTTATGTGCTTTTTTGTGGTATTGATTTCTTTGTTCCATATAATTTTCTATGCTGAGCTTGTTTTATTTATGAATCGTGTTATCACGTCCTTCATTGCTCTTGTTTTAGTATTTGCTGAATATTTATGCTGGTCCTCTTTCTTGATGTGAAGTTTTATCATTTTTCTTTGAGGTTACCCTGTGATTTATAATTTTCTTCCCAGGTTTAGAACAGTCCATTCTATCTTGTTTTGACTTCCCTACCATCTAGAAGTTCTGTAATGACACAGTTTTTTTCCTCCTCTTGGTTAGTTTTCTTCAGGGTTTTATATATACTATCTCATTGTCTTCTTGCCTGTGTGGTTTCTGCCAAGAAGTCTGAGCTTAGCTATTGTTTGCCCCTTGTAGTTAACTTTTTGTTTTTTCCCGTGCTGCTCTCATGATTCTTTCTTTGACTTTTGGTGAGTTTGATGATATGTCTGGGTGATTTTCTTTTGGGGTCTATCATGTTTGGGGTTCTTTGGACTTCCTGAATGGGTATAGTATCATCTTTCATCATACCAGGAAAATTCTCTTCCAACAAATCTTGGACAATTTTCTCTGTGGTTTTATTTGTCTCTTCCTGTTCTGGAATTCTGATGATGTGTAGATTATTTCTTTTGAAGGTATTCCACATGAACCTTATTTTGTTTTTATGTTTTTCTCTGATTTATCCCTTTCCAAAGACGTGTTTGGGTATTTGCCTTCAATCTCCCTAATTCTGTTTTCCATTGATTCAATTCTACTCCTTTGCCCATTCAATATCTTATCTATTTCTGAAAATTTGGTAATAATCTTCTGGATTTCTGTGTGTAGATTTTGTATCATTTCTAATTTTTCTTGTATTTTGTCATTTTGTTCTTGTTTTGTCTTTTGAAATTGTTCTAGGGTTTTCTTTGTGTTTTCCTTGATCTATGTCTCAATTTGTTGAATATACCTAAATATAATTCTTTTGAATTCCTTATCAGAGAGTTTCAATGCTGCATCTTCCTTAGGGATGTGTTTTGGGTCTGTATTCTGGTCCCTTGTTTCTCCTGCTTTATCTTGCTTCTTTGTGTGGACTGTGATGCTCTGTTGTCCCCAAGGCATTGTGACAGTTTTGTGCTTATATTTAATTGGTGATTGTATGGTGGAGTGCCTTACCCACAATTTTTGTTTTCTTTTTTTTGTTTGTATATTATCTACACAAGCATGAACTGTGCTCCTTTATTCACTAGCTGACAGTACTTATACAGTCTCCACCTGCCTCCTTTCCTATTGTCAGCCTCTCATCTGCCTGCCTACTTGGCAAACAGAACCTATTCTTAGGTCCCTGGAATCTGAATTAGAATGCTATCAGTTTAAAATCCAAAATGGTTGCCGCTTGTAAAGATTCAAAATGGCTGCACCCTCAGTCACTTTAAATATCCAAAATGGCCACTGCTGGTAAACATTCAAAATGGCTGCACCCTTGGTCACTTTATATATCCAAAATCGTTGCTGCTTGTAAATGTTCAAAATGGCTGCATCCTAGGTCACTTTAAATATCCAAAAGGCTGCCACGTGTAAACAATCAAAATGGCTGTGCCCTCTGGACAGCGGGAAGTCCACAGCTCAGGTTGTCTCCTTCCTTGCTGTTTCCCTTCCTAGTCATAGGGCACCAGTGCAGTCATCCCTGCAGCCCCTGGTGACCAAGGCTGATCTTTAAGTCAATTCTCAGGTCCCAACACCACTTGGAAATATTCAGGCTGTTGGTCCAGTCAGAGTGGCTGACAGTCCGCAGCTCCGACCATCTCTGTACTCACTGTTTTCGTTCAGGTTTTTCCACTAGTTTGTGCCTAATCCACTTCTATATAGTTCCTTCCAAAGCTCAGGTCTCCAGGATTATCTTCTGTACCTCTGTCAACTGCTTTTTCTTTTCTTTGTTATAGAGGGTCTGTGTCACTTGTCTGCCTATTCCTCCATCTTCCTACTCATTGTTTTGAAGTAAATCCTAGACGTCATAGAATTTTAATTATAAATATTGTATTGTATATCTCAAAAATAGTCTCATAATTAACAAATTCATAATATATTATCAGATTTTAAATAATTAACTTCTTTTATCATCAGATATTCACTGTTCCAATTGAGTTATAATTCGTTCTTCTTTAGATTTATGTATTTGAATCTAAAAAATAAAAACTAAATAAAAACAAAAAAATAAAAAAAAATAAAAACATTAAACTTTGTCATTGCTGTATTGCTATATATGCTCTTCATCTCTTTAATATACACTTCTCTCTCTCTCTCTTTTTTTAGTTGGTTTGTTTAAGGAACTCTGTCAATTATTACATTTACTTGATCACAGTCTGGATTTTGGTAAGTGTTTTCCTACATTGTCTTTAATTTATATCACATCCAAGATTTCTGGCTCCTTCATAACCAAAAAGGTAAAAGGCAAGCTTTAACTGAAGGCCTTTGAATAAGGGTTGAAGAACGTCATATAAAGCTGTGATTGATTAACTGAGGACTATCACTGGTGGTTCAAATCCAGCAGTCACTGCTTGGAAGGAAGATTGGGCAATCTACTTCCATAGTGATACTGCCTCAGAGACCCAAGGCAGGGTTGCTATGAGTCAGATCCAACTGGATAGCAGTGAGGGTTTGTGTGTGTGTGTGTGTGTGTGCGTGTGTGTGTATGTGTGTATTACTGTCCTGAAGGAGCTTTGGTGGCATAGTGCCTAAGGTATTTGACCACTAACCAGAAGGCTGATGGTTCGAAGCCACCAGCCACTCCATGGAAGGAAGACTGGGCAATCTACTGCAAAGATTTACTGCCTGGGAAACCCAAAGGGGTTCCCACTATGAGTGGAATTGACTCAATGGCAGTGAGTTTGATTGGTAGCTGCATCTAGAGTTGAAGGGAAGAAAGCAGAGCTAGGCTTGAGCAACTATAGCTTTTTACAGACACTGAGAAGCACACAAGAAAGACAGGTCACAGAGAGGTCATTAGTTTCTCTTTTTTTCTAGCTCCTAGGGCATTCTCAAGAATTTCCTCAGACTGAAAACTTTACTGCACAATGGCTTTTGCTGCCTCCCTGGCTGACCTCCAAGAACAGGCCACCTGCCCTATCTGTCTGGATTACCTGAGAGATCCAGTGACCATTGGCTGTGGCCACAACTTCTGTCATCCCTGCATCCAACAGTGCTGGGAAGAGCTACAGGACTTCTTCCCATGTCCCATCTGCCTGCACCACTGCCTTGACCGGAACTTCAGGCGGAACACCCAACTGTGTCATATGACTGATATTGTGAAGCGACTTCCAATAATGAGGAGCAAGAGGAAACTCAAGGAAGAGAAACTTCTATGTGAGAAGCACCACCAGGTGCTAGCCCTGTTCTGTGAGAAGGACTTGGAGCTGCTCTGTCTACAATGCAGGATCTCCCCCAACCACTTGGGTCACCACCTAATGTCTATTGAGCAAGCTGCAACTAGTCACAGAAGGAAGCTCAAAAGCTACATTGAACCTCTGAGAAAGAAGTTTGAGGAAGCTCAAAGGAGATTTGAAATTCAAGTCTCAAAACTATTGGAATTGAAGTTCAAGGTTGAAAATCAAAAGAGTGAATTATACTCAGAATTTGAACATTTTTTAAATTTCTTGGAAAAGGAACAAGGAGCAATTCATAATAGGATACTAAATGAAGAGAAGGGTATTGTAGAGAAACTAACTGAAAACAGAAGGCAAATTTCAGACTACAGTTCAACACTGAATAATCTACTTAGTAAAATAACAGAGAAGTGTGTACAGGCAGACCTGGATTTACTGACAGGAATAGGAAGTATCCACAATATGTATGAAAACCTAAAAACCCCAAAAGTGTTTTCATATGAGTTAAAGAGGGAGAGTTTCAGTCTCCCTCCACAATATTTTGGCCTGGTAAATATGATCAGCCTGTTTAAGGAAAATCTGACACTAGATCCTAAAACAGCCCACCACAATCTGATTATCTCAGAAGACAGAAAAACCGTGATATATGGAGTGATGGCACCAAACTATCCTCATCCTCCCGAGGCATTTACTTTTTGCCCGGCTGTCCTGAGT